CAAGACACCAGGGACAGGGCCGCACATAAGGAGTGCTGGTGGTCAGCTGATGACACCCACGGGTAAATGCACCACTAGACTTCGCATCGGAGATTCTAGCTTCGTGGCCACTTTCGTCCTGTTGCCATACTGCTGTAAAGAGTTAATTTTGGGCATGAATTTTCTTCAAGATCATGGCGCTGTTATCAACATCCCTCAACGTATGGTGACGTTTTGCGCACATCCTTATGCCGACAACAGCAGTGAAGAACCACGCGGCCGTTTGCGAATAGCCGACGATGTGACACTCCCACCGAGATCCTGCTGCCTTGTGTCGATGTCCATGCAGTGGGTGTCCTTGCTATAAAGATGTGATAGCGGAGCACATAGTCACTCTTCTGCTCACGCAAGGCATTTCCATCGCGAGGGGCGTCCTGGCGCTTACTGGTGGACAGGCAGAAGTGCTCCTCACAAACTTCAGCAACCAGCGCCGTCAAATCCAGAAGGGTACCGCAATCGCCTACTACGACGATGTATACCAAGCCGGGGATTGTTTTACCTTGCAACCAGATGACGCGGCTGTCCCAGACTCGACTACTTCGTCGGTGGACATCTGCTCTACGCTACCGCCCTCTGATAGGAAGCGCCTGCTTGAACTTATACACCAATTCGAAGACTGCTTTTCGCGTACGTCAAAAGTACAGCAAACACCATTGACCAAGCACCGCATTATTACTGAAGACAACACGCGACCGATTCGGCAAAACCCCTACCGTGTGTCTCCGAAGGAGCGCGAGGAGATTCAGAAGCAAGTACACAAGATGCTCGCGGATGACGTCATACAACCTTCGAAAAGTCCTTGGGCGTCCCCCGTGGTTTTGGTCAAGAAAAAAGACGGCATCTTGCGCTTCTGTATTGGTTATCGCAAGTTGAACCAAGTCACGAAAAGAGACGTCTACCCCCTGCCCCGCATAGACGATTCACTCGATCGGCTGCGTCATGCGCGCTATTTCTCTTCAATGGACCTCCGAAGCGGCTACTGGCAGATAGAAGTCGACGAGAAAGATCGTGTAAAAACGGTCTTCGTGACGCCCGACGGCCTATACGAATTTAAGGTGCTTCCTTTTTGGTTGTGCTCGGCGCCAGCCACTTTTCAGCGTCTCATGGGCACCGTACTATCAGGCCTGAAGTGGCAAACATGCTTGGGTTATCTGGACGATGTTATTGTATTCTCAGCAACATTCGAGGAACATATCAGCCGTTTATTCACCGTCCTCCAAGCCATACGCTCGGCCGGCTTTACTTTAAAACCGGAAAAATGTCATTTTGGTTTTAACCAACTCAACTTCCTAGGCCACGTCGTCAGTCCCGAGGGTGTTCGACCTGACCCGGCCAAAATAGACGCCGTAGCGCAATTTTCTGCATCACGCGACAAAAAGGCTGTGAGACGCTTTTTAGGGTTGTGTGCCTATTACCGGCGATTTATCGAGGACTTTTCGTCTATTGCGGCGCCATTGACACGACTCACACGTGAGGACGTCCCCTTCTTTTGGGGTGAACAACAGCAAATGGCGTTCAATGAACTACGACAACGCCTGCAAACACCTCCAGTCCTCGCGCACTTCGACCAGGAAGCCCCTACAGCACTTCACACTGACGCCAGCATTGTAGGTCTGGGTGCCATTCTGGTGCAGTGGCAAGACGGCTCTAAAAGAGTAATAGCCTACGCCAGCAGAACTCTCTCTCGCACGGAGGAGAACTACTCGACTACCGAGAAGGAGTGTCTCGCCGTGGTGTGGGCGGTCATCAAATTTCGTCCATATTTGTACGGCCGCTCCTTCAAGGTTGTTAGCGACCATCACTCTTTGTGCTGGCTCACCAACCTTAAAGATCCATCTGGCCGTTTGGCGCAATGGAGCCTGGTTGGTGCACACCGGCGACTAGCCGCGGTCGCGCGACCATTTGCGACTGGCGACCAAACTGCGAGCGACGTTCACACCGGCAAGGATTCATGCGAGCGACCGGAAGTCGCAAACCCGGAGAGTCACGTACAGATCTCGTTATCAACGAGAACTTGGGCGACCGGCGACGATCAGCTGATCAGATACGGAGCCCGCTGAGCGCGATGCGTTTGTTTTTGACGGCTGTGTTTGCGTAGCGTTCTCCCGGCAGCATCATAGACTTCGAGTCGAGTGATGAAGAAGAGGTTGTGGCGGTGCTGATGTGCTCAGCCAACGTGTCAGCACAAAAGCCTTCAAAGCAAGCAAGGCGATGGTGGGTGAGACCGTCCCTTCGCTCGCGAGAAGTGGCCGTCCACACAGGGCGTCTGCTCTTGCGCTCGCACGACGAGGAGAATTTCCGAGAGTAAGTTTATGGTTGTTTTACGTGCTTATAAGATAGTGCATAACATGTTATCTCATTCTATTTTTGGTAGTTAGCTTCATGCGGATGCCGCCACGAACGTTCGATGCTGTGCTCGAACTGCTGCGCCCCGCAATATCCAAGCAGGACACAAACCACCGGCCTACAATTTCGGCGCACGACTGCCTGGCCATGACCATGAGGTAAGAGCGTGTGGTTTGAAGATTAATATGCTGTGGCTTGCGGCTGCGCTTCGCTCGTAAGGAAGTTTTGCTTGGGCGGATAGAACGAATTGCATTTATGACGTATGCGGGCTCGATGATGCAGTCGTTACGGCGGCCGGCAGTTTACGCGTAGGTGACGGGTTTGATTACGGCCGCATCGATCGCCTTTAGGTGGAGGCGAAATGCACTTAAGTTGGCGCGTTTGTTGCGCACGTACGTTAAGAATCTCAGGTGGTGAATATTTCAAAACCATCTGTTGTTGCTTATTGCGTAATCAGTACGTGGTTTCCGCTTGTAAAATCCCAGAAAATGGGATTCTGCGCTACACAATGACATTACATTGTGGACCGGTCAGTTCCCGTTTTCTGTTATCCTGATGCACAGGTGCTATATAGAACGCAATTATTAATGATGTTATAAAATAAGTGAAACACAATCCTAAGCTTTGCGAGTACAATTATGCACAAATTGTTAGGACAAATTGATGTGCTGTTCGAGGCACTCAAAGAGTATTCATGCCAAAAATATTTTCAGCATCGGGGAGGGAGGAGGTTCAACCAACCACCCTTTATGTATCTGCATGCACGACGGTGTGTGTTTGCACAAGTACACATGCGAAATTTCTCACAAACATAGGCAGTGTTTAACCCCTGCACCTTGCTACAATTATACGTATGTTCTGTTAAAATGACAGTGACCCAATACACTGTGGACAGTAGCGCAGTGGCAAAACGTATTGTGGACAGTAGCACATTGTGTGAAAGCAATTTGAACAATTGACTTGAGTGATGTACGTTTTGCGAAATAGGTTCTCCTTGAATTTACAGCTTTTCAGAAATCCATGCTAAGGAAATTGCTACAGGTACATTTAGGTTGCCCTTCTTCAACCTGAGTGATATGAGCACGTACGCTCTTCCATGAAAAGGTTGATGCATGCTTATGATTCGCTAAAATGTGTAGGCACAGAAATATTCACTGCATATACGACAGCTTGCAGAGTGCACAAGCAGTGCGACCGTTCGCGACCAGTTGCAAATGGTCGCGCGACCGCTCCTAGTCGCCGGTGTGCACCAGCCTTAATTTGGTTTAACTGTACAGGGCAATCGTTCTCTCAAAAGTGTACAATGGTTTTGTCCAAATGCGAGCAGTTACTGACCTTGGCTGCCATGAAACTTGACATATCGAAATTTCTAAAGTCAGTCAGCAAAGTCAGTCAGCAAATATGCATTCTATCAGAAGCTGTGATGATGTCGTAGAAAATAGACAGCAGAGGTAGCACTCATTAATACATAAAAATGAGGAACACTTTGGCAATGTAGCGTCATGACTACGACACTGAAATGCAACTATGTGTGAGATTTTCAAGCTCAGCATGTTCCTTTTACAGTGTGTGTCTTCCATCATGGCTGTGCCGACAGAAATTTTACATGGCACTTATGCGTTGTAGGTATGCCAAGGAAGTGCGAGATAAATTGGCGCACTACTTCGTCACAGACGGTCAGGTGCCTTGGCAGGACAAAGTGGTGAACAGCACTTGAGGCGTACAAGGTGAAGGTGGGTTGTAAATGCATTTATTGCTTACAGAACTTATGTACATAGCATCTTCTTAAGCTAAACAAAGAAGAAAAAAATCACCCGTGACACAACAGATACATTACAGGGAAAACTGTCATGTCCAAATATAACCATGAAAACACAAAAATAAATAATTCATGTTAAAATATTTGAGTTATTGCACGGTTATCGCTATAATTATCACAGAAATAAGTGGCCTTAAAGGGGTCATGACACCCAATTTTCAACCATAATGTGTGTTGCATGAGCTGATTCTTGTATGTTCACATACAAGCTGGTGAAATTCGAGCGATTTGGTCAAGCTGCTAATTTTTAATCGCATATTTTTATAAACGAGCTAGTCGCCTGACAGTTGGGCAATACTGATGCACTCACTATCCATGACATCACGAACCGCTTGCTCGACAAGCTGCTGCACAGTGTGCATTCTGGCAGACGGTCGTGTTTTGTCATCAGCTGCGTTTGCAATCAAATTTTTTTGCATTGTTGAACTCTCCACTAAAGCTAAATGACTTCCAGGGGTCGAAACATAGCTACTGTGTCAGCAATGTAGCGTTGGTACTTGCAGCAAATAATTTCGTGAATGTGCAATGCGTATACCATTTGCCACTGCTCCTTCGGCTTGTGACGTCGCGCACGCCATGACAAAATGGCGGTCACTTGTGGTAGGTTGAGTTTTAGGAGCCGAGCACTTCTACGGCATATTTTTGACTAAAATAATCTCTTAAGGCCCCTTTTAACACGTGTACTAGCACATTTTACTCTGTAGTTTTGTTTTTTGCTGACAACCGTCAATTGTTGAGTGACCAGTCATGACCCCTTAAGTTAGGACTAGAAAAGTGAACACAAGATAAAAAAAGATGGGTGTCATTGACTTTATATATATAAACACTTCAATTTGCTTCACTGCTCTGATGCAATTTTGCCTCTGCTTCATACAGCATAAGTTCTACTGCATGCATTACATCTTGTGCAATGTGCACTGGTAGCTCTCTGAGGGGTGCATCGGTACGTAGAGCGAAGAAACCAATGTTATCTTTTTTGATGACCCCCTTGTTCGCTCTGATGTGTTCAAGGTGATCCATGCACGCTTGCGCCACAGCTTCATGGCTTGTGCCCTCTCCTGCATTGCTGCAAAGCAAGTGTGAATTGCGATTCATGCAAATGCTTTAAGGTTGCATTGTTACTTCATAAAGCACCATTTAGCAAAAAAAACAGTGTGAGAACGACAAAGTAGAAACAGAAGAAACAATACAGAGCACTGACTTTCAGCTAATGTTTGTGATTTTCGGCACTAAGAAAGAAAAAAATATAGAGCAACTGAAGCAAATTAAATAGCACACTTAAAAGATAAATGTGTCAATAGGGCGTCTACTTCTCTGTGAGAAATAAATGGGCTTTTGATCTTTGAAACGGACACTTGTGTTTTGGGACAGGGTGCTGATGTTCTGATATTAACGTCTAAATATTACGGTAGTTACATGGGTTCTGTCTGCCTTAGTATAAATGTGTCCACAATAAAAACATCAGTTTAAAGTCTGTGCTCTGTCCTGTTTCTTCTGTTTCTACCTTGTCGTTCTCACACTCTTTTTTGTTACTATGTCTGTGTACCAACTTGACCGAGCGTTAACCTTATAAAGTTTTGTGTTTTGTAGCATGCGCAGGATTGTTAGAAAAAAATCTGCAAGTTTATCCTCTAAGAGTTAGGGGTATATCTCACCTAGCGCCCTCGCAGGTCCGTTGTCGTCTTGACGAGCGTGACCTGCAGTGAATTATACATATTACTTAAATGTACAGAAAGTGATCCTTTTCGAAAAGTTGTGGTTGTGATCTCTTGCCAGGAGTACCTAAAATAATTTTTTTTGTTTACACACCGTTTTGATGGTGGCTGCTCTCTTGAGGTGGTTGCTGAAGCATCACCGCAGGAGGAGGCAGTATTATTATACAACTTATAAAGTGTTGCAATTGCATGTAGCAGAATCTGGTGTGAAAAATTGCATGTAGCAAAATCTGGTGCATGTAGCAGTTCAAAATAGGGCAGTCCGATTCATTTCTCGTAATTATAATTTCTGCTGCAGCGTAACACAACTTAAAATGGATTATTCATTTCAATTATTATCCACTCGCCGCAACATTTCTCTTTTATGCCTCTTTCATAAATACGTCAATAGCACTAAAATGACCAGACTTCCAATTGAACGACCCTCCTATTTATCAACTAGACTACACAACCGGCTTAGTTTCTCGCGCATGTACGGCAAAACGAACTCTTTTAACGCATCCGCTTTGCCTCGTGCCATCACGTTGTGGAATGATCTTCCCGATAACTTGGTATCTGACACTAACCCTGTTTCCTTCCGCAACAAATTGGTCTTACATTTTGGTTGATAATTTTATGTTCACAGCTTCGTTCTTGTATGTATATGACATTCATAATGCTGTGCAAAAAGTTTTTTTTCTAATGCGCTTATTGCCCCCTTATTTTTTGTGCTTTATTTTTGTTTGCTTAGGACGAACTGTTCACACTTCCTGTAAGCGCTTTCATGATTTTCCCAGTGTATTATACCACAATCTGTGCCAATTTAACTTACACGTATTGTACACTTCCTAACTGCTGCGTGCCATGAACTGCATCTTTCTTGTTTTTTGGTAACGATGTATGATGTCAATTTATACTTACTTATTTCTTGTTTATTTGTTACTCATGTCTCGAGCTTACGTTTTGGCACCTTTCGCCCTTTTACTTGTTGTACATGTCTTTGTTAGCCCCCCTTACTCAATGCCCTAACCAAGGGCCTGTAAGATACCTGTAAAAAAAAAAAAAAAAAAAAAAACATTAGGCACATTCTTCAAATGTGCTAGAACATGCATGTTTTTAAGATTTAATAGATTGGCTATCTATGCATGCCCTTCATTTGTCATTACTTAGGTGGATTCATAAAGGTTTTACTCATTGCTGCAGGTGTCGACACGAGTCTCCTCAGCCGTATCAGGGGTACGTTCCGGTTCCGCTGCATGTCTTGGCCGAGGCGGTGATCTGCAGTGATTAAAATTTCTTTCTATGTATTTGATGATGCCGCTAGTACATGAAAAGTTTTAGGCATTCTTTGGGAGTTAAAATGCCATTATGATTTCGCTCAACACGAAGTTTATTTTACACTTGCGTTACCTCTTGATTGAGCACTGCTGTATAGAAGGTGTGCATACAGAAGTTTATTGTGCCTATTATGTTAATAAAATGCTATGTAGGCTGCACATCTAAATGAGAACAAGAGATATTGTCACGGAGATGAAGTAAAAGTAATTGCAGCCTGTTGCTGATGAATACTTTGCTTTTTCAGAAATATTTGACGTTGTAAAATAACCACATTCACACAGAAACAATGCCTGTGCCCTCATGTATTTAGGTGTGCTTCTGTTCAGTGTTGAGTGCTGAATGTATTGAAAAAAATGCAGTGGTTTGGGCAAGCTAACGACCTGAACACCACCTTTCAAGCACGCTTGTATTTTTGATAATTTTGCAAAGTACAATCACCTAGTAATAAAAATAATGTTTCTAGGTTCAAGTCCATGCATGTACAGCTTCAAGTGCATGCACATGGTACCGAAAATTTTTGTGCATGCTCACCTCTCGTTAGCCTCTTCTGCTGTGATGTGGCTGCTGCAAGAGAACATGCAATATGTGATTCTGTCAGTGCTATTGTGTGCATCTTTAGAGCATTTTCACTGTTTTGCTACAATATAAGTACTTATGCTGCATTCTTGTAATGAATATGTGCAATGCTTGTCTATGAACAGCCTCATGACACATGCAATAAGCGATCTCTTTAGATTTTTATATTTTGTATTAAGCCTTTCTTTTTTTGGTAAATGAGAGCCGAGAATGACACAGAAGTACACTCAATTCTTTCATTCTTACTGTTCTGTCTTCAATATTCTGTTTTGTGAAGCTGTCCACGTGCCACTTGTACGGTATGCTATATTTTTTGCGTTGTGCTGATGCATTGTGCTATGCTAACCAAAACATTTCATTTTCTGTTCAATGGACGGTAAGCATTATTCATTACCTTTGGTCAATGGCACTCATGTTGCACAGTATCCAGAAAGAATGATGCACTGAGTTATTCTTCGTAGCTGTAGCCACAGTTATTCGACATCAAAACAGCCCATTGCCATCATGTTCATGATCACATGCATGCCCACTGTGAATTACCTCTTGGGACTTCTATGTTTATGTGCAGTGTACTTATGTGTATTGATATGTGAGTATTTATGTGTATGTATAACAGTCATGTGAATTAAATCAACTTTTTTTTTGTTTAGTACTCAATAGTCAGCTAATATTGAACTTACGCCACAGGCTCAGACTCTCCTTCCATTAATTCAAGCATGGCCTCAAAATGGGGCCATTTTATTGTTGGAATGTCGGCTGCTCCGGCTCCACTTCTTTGTTTTTTCACGTATGTCGTGTTGTTTCCTTTTGAAGATATCACGCAGGTTCTTAAATCGTTTCTCAACAAGGACACCTGAAAACAAAACCCTTGCTGTAAGAATGTATTGTGCATACTGTATCGCTGATAAATTTTCTACTTTATTTCAGCACAATTGTGAGCGGTCTTTATTTTCTTTGCCCAGATCATTTCGGCTGCAGCACCCTAGAAATCTGAATATTGGGCAACAAAATGAATCGCATGCCATCTAAACTTAACTATTGGTAGGGGCTTAAACATTGCAAAACCACGACATGATTGAGGGAACCTGCAGCCGAGGGTTCCAGAAATGCTACCCACCTAGTGTTTTAGACCGTCCACCTACATGTGCACGACATCACAGCTGACGCAATGATTAGTTGCGCAAAGAGTTATGTACACTGTTTCTTGAGGGTAAGCATGTCTGCCAAGCTATTGTAACAAAGAGGCTGTTTATACTGTCGGAAATTGAAGTTCACTTGCAAAAAGTCTATTTCATGAACCAGCACATGATGTCTTTATCACCTTCACAGTGAAGCTTTCTAAGCATTACTGCATTGCGCAAAACTCCACAGGTGAGTATATACCATTGGTATCGGCCAAGCGCAACTGTCGTGTACAGCGGGAGCGATTGTTGTCAAACAAAAGCAAACATGTTAAATAACTTGAAAAGAAGAATGAACTAACTAGGGCAAGATGACAATTTTCGAGAGAAAGAAATGCAACAAACATAGTATATGACTCAAAGTGTAACATAGAGAGAGCGAGAGGAAGGAAAATATAAGAAAATAAAGGGACCAAAACATGAAAACATACCAACACATAGAAGCAGACATGAAAAATTGACTTTAAAGTATAGGAACAAAGAAAACAAACAAAAACGAGGCACAGTTGAAAGCGGAGAGATATAACCTCGGGGAATAAAATATAAAGGCACCAATAGACAAAAACACAGGAGAGGAAAGGAACAGTTGTGAAGAAATGAGGATTAGATTTGGGCCACATTACAGAGGAATAAATTCCCCCATCTGTGCTTTCCTTCAGTGTTCGCCCAGCCACTAGAACACTACCATATCTTTTTTTTTTTTTTTTACGATTGCATGTCATTTGGCATCAACAGCATGTCTGACTCCCAAATCCGGACATTTGAGAGTGCTGCTAAACATGTTTTTCATGTTTTAATTACACGCTCCTCTGTGGAGTGCACAAAATGCGCTCAAAGCAGGAGCTACTTTGCATTCTTTTTTAAAGCAGCACAACTGCAATGCATAGGCAAAATTAAAGCGTAACCCCCCCCCCCCTCCCTCACCGCGCACTAGATATTATGCATTGCAAATGCCGCACGTTCACAAAAGCACACATTCCGTTCGCCAGACGATGACGTACAAACACAGCAAGGAGCATGCGCATGTGAGTTGGCAACTGCGAGCAGTATTTCGAACGTCTGAGCTTTATGATCAGCTATACAATGTTCTGTCACGTCGATTTCGATGTTAAACTCGGGAAGTCGCGAGAACAAACATGCACACAACTGCGCTCGCATACATCACAGTCAATACATCTCATGCAAACTAACCATGTAACCTTGCAGTACAAATACCAATATTTTCATTGTTCATTCATTGGCAACACCAGCCATGCAGTACACACCTGTTTTTGCTTATATAGCTACTCAAACAAAAAATCTCGGTACTTACTCGACATGCCGAACATGCTTCGATCTGCCCAAGCCCGGTCCTTCTTTGTCCGATCTTTAAAAGAAGGGTGCCGCTTGTCATACAGATATGGGTACATTTTAGTCGCGTCGATGAGGAGCTCGGCCGACTACCCAAAGCTGGCCGTGGTGGCATTCGCCTGATGCGAGGAAGAATCCATGGAGGAACGTACGTGTCGTTCGTACCTCACGGCAGTAGGCAAGCGCAACGAGGAAAAAAAAAACATACAAGGAGACCGGATGTAAACAAAGACTGACGTCACTTCTGGTCTTCGCTGATTGGTTAAACTGTTTTGCGACTGCAGTCGCGCGACCAAAAAATCGGTCAGGAAGCGACTGGCCCAAACAGTCGCTTTGCGACCGCTTGCGACCGTTCGCGACTGCTTGCGACCAGTCGCAAATGGTCGCGCGACCGCGACTAGTCGCCGGTGTGCACCAGCCTTAAGACTTCAAGAGTTCGACATGACTATCGTCTATTAATCTGGGAAGCGGCACACCGACGCCGACTGTCTCTCGCGGTCGCCAGTGGAGACTGTCGCTCGTGATGACGAAAACATCGACGCGGCATTCTTGGGACTTGTCAACACGGCCACTATAGCACGGGAGCAGCGCAGTGACCCCGAGCTGTTACCACTCATTGAATATTTAGAAGGACGACGTAAGGACGTGCCGTGGTTATTTGCCAGAGGACTGCCATTTTTTTGCTTGCGAAACGATGTTCTCTATAAGAAAAACTTCTCACCAACCGGCAACCCGCACTTGCTCGTCGTGTCTGCCTCTCTTCGAAAAGAAATTATGGAAGCGTGCCATGATGAAGCAACTTCTGGTCATCTAGGCTACACCCGAACATTGTGCCGACTGCGATGCAAGTACTACTGGCCAAAGTTACCCGCTGATGTTAACCATCATGTGCGAACTTGCACCGACTGCCAATAGGGTGCCTGAATGGTTTCCCTCGCCCGCGGCGGGCGAGGGAAACCATTCAGGCACCCTAACTGCCAAAGACGCAAAGCGCCTCCTAGCAAGCCAGCCGGTCTTTTACATCCAGTCCAAGCACCAGCGAAGCCGTTCACCCAGATTGGAATGGATTTCCTGGGCCCCTTTCCAACTTCCACAACAGGGAACACATGGAAAATCGTGGCCACCGATTACCTCTCCCGTTATGCGGAGACTAAAGCTATGCAGCGCGGCACAGCAGCAGAGGCCGCTCAGTTCTTCATCGAAAGCATCGTCCTTCGGCAAGGCGCTCCGACAGCAGTGATCACAGACGGAGGACCTGCCTTCACCGCAGAACTTTTGCAGTCGGTTCTCAGATTCAGCGGTACAGCTCACCGGAGAACAACTGCTTACCATCCGCAGACAAACGGACTGACGGAGCGCCTCAATAGAACCCTCACGGACATGATCAGCATGTACGTTGACACAGAACATAAAAACTGGGATCAGATATTGCCGTACGTGACCTTTGCCTATAATACCGCTCGACAAGAAACCACTGAAATGACGCCGTTCAGTCTGATCTATGGTCGCGAAGTCACGACAACGTTGGACGCCATGTTGCCGCATGAGTGTGACGACATCCATGTGGACGCCGAAGAGTTCACTCAGCGCGCCGAGGAAGCCAGGCAGCTCGCGCGTGTGCGCATCTGTCATCAACAGCATCAAGATGCACAACGGTACGACCCGCGACACAAGTTTATTAGCTACACACCAGGCGACAAGGTCTGGGTCTGGATTCCGATACGTCGACGTGGACTGTCAGAAAAACTGCTAAGACGATACTTTGGCCCATACAGCTTCACGCGACGCTTGAACGACGTAAACTATGAAGTTGTTCCCGACACTGACTGTGGTTCTAAGCGTCAAAATCATTTACCTGAAGTCGTACACGTCGTGCGTATGAAACCGTATTTATCCAGTTGACGCGACCACTTCATACGCCTGGTAGAGCGCCTAAGTTGCGCATCGAGACGATGCCTCTTTCGGAGGGAGGCAAATGTCACGTGCTTGTCAAAAAGAAAGACTATGACAGTTGTGCATGTGCCATGAAGTACAATGAAATGGATGAAAAAGAAGAACTCTCTTGCGCGTTCGATTAAAAGAACCTCCCTATCGGAAAAAAACGAATGGTGGGCATGGTGGAAACCACCACCCACCACTATAGTGGATTAATGTAGTGGGTGAATGGTGGGAAACGCCCACCATGGCGCATGGTCGGTATGGTGGGTGCTGCAGTGTCGGCAACATTTGAGCGCGAAATGACGTCAGAATCACCGTGACAAGCTGCCACAAAAAATAAAAAAGAATTCTATAAAAACGGCATAAAAACACCCGTCCCGTAAAAAAAAAAAAACAAGGCGCCATGGAGCATCGAACCTGCAACTTGCGGATTTCCATTCGAAGCCGCTAACCACTGCGCCACACCGACATGACGTTGATTGCGTGTTAAATACTTAGTTGCCATACAAACTTAAAGTTCATCTTAGTTATGTTTGTCGTGTACACAACATAGACAAGGCCTACACCTGCAACTAAACATTGCACATTTATTAAACACAAGCAACTGCGGCCTGTAACGATTGCCACTATGTTAATGGCACTAGTGCTATTTTTTGCAATTCACAACTTCAAGAAAAAAAAACCAAGTGGACTGGGGAGCAGCGACAGTTTACCGGCGGGGTCTGCCAAGTTTAATATCCGTTTCGCGCTCGTTCTAAAGGGCGACATCTGCTCACGCTTTATGACGCTTCTAGGCTCATTCCATAGATACGGCCGCCTAATTTATTTGATTGAGTATTGGGATGCTTTTCGCGCAATGTAGAGGGCGGTCGCGCCAGCGCAGTGCTGTAGCTCTTTCGCTAAAGCAACAACTACATAACGGCTTGGCCAAAACGAATACAGTGTGCCGGAAACATTACGCTATCATATTGGTTCATCAAGCACACGAATTGCCACGTCTGAGTTCTCGTACAAAAGCTAGAGAAGTGCCGGCGAGTGTGACTGGCGGCTGTCGGTGAGAAGACACTTAATTACGTTCCCTGGGAGTGCTTAAATCGCGTCGCATCAATGTTTGTTGTTTCTTGAGCGGACACCATACACAATGAAAAATGCTTCATTTAGGTTAATTGATGCCATATGGCTGCGGTGTATTGTAATACTTAATCGTCGTAATCATGTATTCTGAAACCCGGAAGCACGCCTAACACAATTGTACGGGCTCTGTCAGTAGGCCTAACCTTTGGTGGAAATCATGGTGGTAGAACATGTAGTGTACAGATCCCAGCTTTGTACACTATATAAATTGCACGCCATTATAAGCCCACCCATCATCTGCTTACTCCTTCCCAGCATTATCGCGATGGTGGGCAGAGCTTCTCAGCTTGGTACACCATGTGGCCCACCATAACAAGCAGCACCCATCATCTGCTTAGTGCTTCCCAGCATTATCGCAATGGTGGGAAGAGTTTCTCTACTTGGTACACCATGTAGCCCACCATAATAAGCACCACCCACCATATGCTTAGGGCTTCCCAGCATTATCGCAATGGTGGGCAGAGTGTCCCATTATTGCCCACTATCTAGCCTCTGCTTTCCATCATCATTTCCACTTTACCCATCATCTGTACACCATACCACCCAGTATGTCCCAGCATAGCCACCATATTTTCCACTACGTCTCACCATAGCCATCATAATTTCCACCATGCCCACTATTATTTCCACCATGCCCACTATTATTTCCACTACTCCCACCATGTTTTCCAGTATCCACCATGGCAATTTTTCCGATAGGGCTACCTGCTTCTGGTGTCTCAGTTTCTGCCGCAAGACCTCTGTTTCGACGTCGTGACAATATAAGGCCTTTACTTAATATATATATTGTTGTATTAGACTTAGCGTGCTGAATGTCGCATATGCTTGTCTTACAATTAGGAAAGCAGACAAATCACGGTTTCTTCCTAACAGATTTTGGAGCATGCATATAGGCGTGTGTGACGGGAACCTGCGAGGTGAGCGAAAAATGGAACCACCTTCTTCATATTCTTTGTGCTTTTGTCCTCGCCTTGGTGGTCGAGCAGGTAAAATACTCGGTTGCTGATCCACAGGTCGCGGCATCGAATCCCGACTACAGCGGATGCATTTTCGATGGAGGCAAAAATGCTGTTAGCCCGTGTGCTCAGATTTGGGCGCGCGTTAACTACGGCGTCTCTCATAATTATATATGGCGATTTTTCGACGTTAAGCCCCACATATATCAATCTGTGTCTCGGTGGAACACAAAGTGCACCTGTAAACTGAAAAAATTGCTTAAACAATCATTATAAGGCGTGATTTGTAGGTACATTTACCACACAAACTCATATTAAGGCAAGCGAAAGAGCTAGTAAAGATAATGACGAGGAAGTTGGGCTGCAGTTTAGTTAAAGGACCCCTGACAGCGAAAATTTCTTGTTTTGTGAGTTTTTTTTTTTTACAGTAATTTGTACTTTTGGGTCTGGTAATGCCGAAATTATATCATAAATACCCTCACGCATGATATAACTAACGCTATCGTCCTAAGTTCAGAGTTATATTGCGTTAGTGTTAAACGCCCGCCTAAATAGCATAAGAAGCTAGCGCCCCACAGAAGAGCAGCGCCTGAGACTATGTGCACTCAAGTGTGGCAGCTTGGGATAGTTGGTATGACATGACGATAGCGCGAGAACAGAACGATGACAAGAGACAAGACGCTCGTCTCCTTCGTCTCCTTCTTGTCTCTGGCATCGTTCTGTTATCGCGCTATAACTATCATCGTGCTCTCAAACTTCGTAAACGCTTTAACGCATTGTTTTCAAATTGAAGAACCATGGGCGGTAAGTAAAACTATGTGGGTACTTTGCGTGCGTCCCCCTCCGAAAAAAGAAAAGCATTTCTGGCGTAAGAAACCTAAACCACCTAGAGAGCAGCCCGAGAACAGAGCGAGAGGGGGGACGAACAATGGTCCTCACCGGGCCTAAGTACAGCTATTGTGCGCGCCCAGCAAATGTTCTCTGACCCCGGCAATACGTTCTTGACCACTGTAACGCCACAATGGTATCCCCGGTCTACTTGAAATCACAACGAATGTTGATTGCACCTGACTACTCATTTGAACACGCACCCTTACTTTAAAACCAAACTAAAATATCTTCTAGGCAACGCTCGCCACTAATAATCGGTCAGAGGTGGTCCCGCAT